CTACAGACTGAGTTCCAGGTCATGGATTGTCAGCACTACACAGAGAAATGCTGTCTTGAAACAAAACACACACACACACACACACACACACACACGTTTGATTTCTTTGCAACTTACTTGCATACTAAAATTGCCGTGTTTTTTTAATTTTATTTTATTTTTTATTATTTTTAGAAGAAACTAGATAGTATCGGCTTTATTGTTGCACTTCAGTAAGATTGGCTAAAGGTATTTAACTTTCACTGATTAACCTGCTGATAGCCTGATTTTATGATTTTTTTTCTTTTTTTTTTGTATTTTATTTTTTTCTTATCAGTTACATTTTATTAACTCTGTACCCCAGCCGTGTCCCGATCCCTCATTCCCTCCCAGTCCCTCCCTCCCTCCCTCCTCTCCACCGTGCCCCTTGCCAAGTCCACTGATAGGATTCATCTGATCCTGTTTTATCAGGTATCTTCAGGACTGGCTGCAAAGCTCTCCTATATAATAAATCTTAGGAAATTTATTAGATTTTCTAATATTTCTATATCATTTTTAGAATCCACAATATTTTCGCTGAAAATATTAGAGCATTTAACTATGCCCTAACTTGGTCAAATCTAAAATTACATTTTCTAGAAAAATTTCTTAAACAATGATTCCTCAGAAAATACATGAATCTACAGATGTATATTATGATCAAAGTCTGACTACCACTATACTCAGTAAAATACAGGGGATGGGTGCTGCCAGTGGCTAAATGATTGAAAGTTCAAAATGTCATGCAATATGGAGTCCATAATATCAGCTTTGGTTTGTTTTGATTTTTACAACTACAATACAGCTCATTATATAGAAATTTAATTGAACGTATCTTCAGGCCAAAAAGGAATATGATCTTTAACTAACATAAACTCAATCAATAGTTTAACAAGAAATAAATATTCAACATATGACCATATGTTGAATGTTTCATATTCATTTTATAATTAGTTATATAAAGCTATTTTTTGCAAATATATAATGAACTTTGAATACATTCCAATACTACCAATTCAACTATTACTCCCCTTCCCTGTTTTCATTACTTACTTTTTCCCTAGCTAGAATGTCATTAGTACATAAATAATGTTATTTTTCTGTAACATTTCATACCTGCAAAGGAAAAAATATAAAACAAAACAAAACCCTTTCTGAGATGAGTTAATTCACCCCAATTATTGTTGAGGAAAATTTAAGTAACATTCAGTTAAGTTTCTGGAGATTTACATGCAAAATACCTGGTAAAGAAATATATGAAAAAATGCCAGAGGAACACAGCTATTAAATTTCCAAATATGAGAAGAATCCTAAGATGAAGTTACCTTTGTTCTTTACACAGTAGGAATAAAACTACTGTCAAATGGCAAAGAAATAAATGTATAAAAAGACAAATATCAACAAAATGCTATGTGAACATATTTAAATCCTTTCTTAAAGATGCTTAAATATTTTACATTTTAGACACTGGGTGAACATTTGATTGTCCAAAAGTCTTATTCTATTGTTTTAATCTGCTTGAATTCTATAGTCCCCCTGTTGAGACCTACTTTATTTCTTAGCATAACTATGGCTCCTCTGTAACACTTGCTGTGGCCCAAAACATTTCAGAAGCCATTTTGACTCCATGTCTACATTTTGATTATGTCTCTAGGATTTCATTTCTCAAACTTTGTATACTTTATTACCTGGACACCCTATGAAGTCTTCTAACCACAAAACAAATCAAATTAAAGGTCAATTAGAAAAAACTTTGTCTAGCTAGCCAAAATGATGCACAGTTGCTTCTTAAAACGGATATATGGTTGCATTTTTGTTTCCTGGTTGTTACCTAGTTACAGTTTGTTTCCTACACCTGGTTAGAGTTTTGCTACCTGGTAATGTTTTCTGTATAAAACACCTGACCTAGGAGCAGACCAACTAGTAGTCTGGCTCTGAGTCCAGATTATGGCCCTGACTGGTCAGTTTCTGTTTAGGGTACAATAAACTTTGTTGAGTTGAGTCTGGTGTCTGAATGATCAGTGAGCGGCTATTTATATTTTTTTTATTAATTACAGTTTATTCACTTGTATCCCAGCTGTATCATCCTCTCTCATCCCCCCCCCTTCCCTCTGACCTTAGCCTATCAGGTCTCATCAGGACTGGCTGCATTGTCTTCCTCTGTGGCCTGGTAAGGCTGCACTCCTCTCAAGGGGAGATGATCAGAGCAGGCCAATCAGTTCACGTCAGAGACACTCTGTTCCCATTACTAGGGAACCCACTTGGAGATTAAGCTGCTGTGGGCTGCATCTGTGCAGGGGTTTTGGTTATTTCCATACATGGTCCTTGGCTTGAGTATCAGTCTCAGAATAGACCCCTGGGCCCAGATCTCCTATGGAGCTCCTATCTCCTTCAGGTCTTTCATCTCCCCTTCTTTCATAAGATTCTCTGCACTCTGCCCAAAGTTTGTGTATGAATCTCAACATTTGCTTCAATACCCTGCGGGGTAGAGTCTTTCAGAGGCCCCCTGTGGTAGATGACATGTATTATGATAGAAAATTAGCTTTTTTTTTATAAATTGTTCAGGGTAGGTAATTTTAAAGAGGTGATGGTCAAATAGCTCAGCAGGCAGAAGATCTTGCCATGCAACATAATTACATGAGTTGGTTCCTCCAACTCATGTTTGAAGAAGAGAATTAACTCCAAAAAATTGTCAACAGACGTACCATGTATGCTGCGGTATGCAATTGCTTGCACTACCAAGTACATATTACACACACACACACACAGCATTAAATGCTATAAATAATAAATAAAATATAAAAAATCAATTTACCCAAAAAACAGGATATAAATAAAATGAAAGGTTTACTAAAATGTGATAATTGTACTTTATATTAATTTGGTGATATACACCAAATCACACAAAATGCAATTCTTGGGAAGGATTTGTACTTGTTCCTAATCTTTTTCACCAGTGGTCTATTATTATTATTTTTCTACGATATGTATTGTATCCATCTCTCTTTCTCTCTTCAGTTCAACTGTGGGCTGTGTTGTACTCAGTGGTAGAAAATAATTGTTCATCGTGCACAATAATTCTATGATCGGATCTCTATGACATGCACACGCAGAAACTCACACACACAAACAGATTTTAAACCATATGCAACAAAAAATTTTAACTTTGAATGTAGTGGTAAAATTCATGCTAACTTTCCCCAAGCTGAATTTCTTTGCTGACCTTCATTAAGTAAATGGATAACAAGAACACAACTGCTTGAAAGTGCTACAGAGGAATCATAGAATCTCTGTGATTAAGTGTTTTGTAACAACCTTTCCTAACAAGAGCCAAAGACCTAATTATTCTCTGAGGGTCTGTACAAAAATAAATTTATAGTATTCATAACAATGTAATGCAGAAAATCTCTTAAACTGAGATGTTGTGAATTTTCTGTTAATTATTTTATTGCATTCTTATAAGGTTTTCACCATATTTCCCTCAAGAAAGCCAAATTAACAAATCCAGTTTGGATTACTATAAGAACGACGCAGATGTGGGAAAGGTGAGAGTGACTATTTTAACAGAGTTGGAAAGAGTGGCCCCAGGCCTGTGGGATTCTAGATATTAGGTGGAATTAGGCCAGGGTGTTTTAGTAGTTAATGAATGAGGACAACCTTCATATCCAAATATTTCTCCTGTTTAATCAGCTTATATGTGCTATCTAAAAATGACATGTATTTGTTATGGTGGGAGCCTTTTCCCTTATTATTCAATTTTCAGCCATAGAGTCATCTTTGTAGGCCCCAATTATTCAACTTTTCAAAGACCACATACTTTGCCCTAACTTTTTTTTTGTTTGTTTTTTAAATTTTTTTATTAATTACACTTTATTCATTTTGTATCCCCCCATAAGCCCCTCCCTCCTTCCCTCCCGATCCCACCCTCCCTCCCCTTTCTGCATGCATGCCACTCCCCAAGTCCACTGATAGGGGAGGTTCTCCTCTTCTTTCTGATCTTAGTCTATCAGTTCTCATCAAAAGTGGCTGCATTGTCCTCTACTGTGGCCTGATAAGGCTGCTCCCCCCTCAGGGGGAAGTGATCAACGAGCAGGCCAATCAGATTATGTCAGAGGCAGTCCCTCTTCCCATTACTATGTAACCCACTTGGACACTGAACTGCCATGGGCTACACCTGTGCAGGGGTTCCAGGTCATCTCCACGAATAGTCCTTGGTTGGAGTATGAGTCTCTGGGAAGTTCCTTGTGTTCAAATTATCTTGTTCTGTTGCTCTCCTTGTGGAGTTCCCATCCTCTCCAGCTCTTACTATTTCCCACTTCTTACATAGAATTCCATTCACTCTGCCCATCAGTTGGCCATCAGGCTCAGCATCTGCTTTGACAGTCTATACTGCAGAAGCTTTCTAACTTTTTAGTCAAACTTTGTGTTGGTATAATTAATTATCAAATCTCCCAGGTTTTAAGGAGAATTTTTAATTTGTATTTAATTTATTTAGTAAACTATAACCTCAGGAATTGTAAGATAAATCTTGTTATGGTAAATAGGGGGCTGTTTTACCTCCTGGCATGACTGTTGTATTAATAAGTTAGCTGGAGTTTTTCTGAGATAGAAATAAAAGACAAAGTAAGCCACGGGATCTATCTCAATGTCATTTGTCAATCAAAGAGATTGTTAAAGGAATACTGCAAGCTTCAGGCAGATTTATGAGTGCAGTTTGAAACAAACGGTGCTTGAGCTGAAATTTATAGCATTACAATCAGATCATTGCTGAGATACAAAATACAATTAACTAGCTTAACTGGAACATAAATTAATTGCCTTACTTCTTTATTCCAAGCTGCCAATGTTGTAACCTGTCTTTTGTAATTATGTGAGAAAATGTTGTCCTTTAAATGCCAATTTTTGTTCTGTTTCTTGTTTTAGGAATACACAGAATACTTAAGATTGTACAGGAGAATTCAGAAACAAACACATTTTGCTGGCATCACACCTGTTCCGCTGTGGAATAATGGTTGGAATCCAAATACACAGCAGAACAAATCACTGCTTCTTGAAAGACTGGATGCTGGTGATTCCGTTTCTATGGCCTTGCCTTGCAGTCGCAGAGACTTTGAAAGCTGAGAGGGTTCAGACTGTTGTGCCCTCTCCTTGGAGAGCTAAGCGTGCCTGGGTCTGGACCCAACTTGTTGTACCAGAGGAAATGGAAGCGGGACAATACGTTGGACGGGTATTTATTTCCTGAAACAGTTGCAGTATATGGCTTTATAAAGAAGTAATGTAAATGGATTTAGAAAGCCTGATGGCTTCCACATATTCAAGGCAGCCATTAGGAAAACAAACAAACAAACAAACAAACAAACCAAGCACAGGCATAATAAATTTGTATATACGAACACCCTTTCAAACTCAAAGAGGGAAGTACAATTATCAACTGTGCTCAGCCTGGTATCCTGCTCTGCTGCATAGCTGCTAACTTGTCCTCATTCGTTTTTAATGACACATATTAATCCTATCTCTGTTAGTGGTTCGGGAACTCAGCAACCTACACACATCCTGTGATTAGAGAGGATGAATTGTAAAGAATGATTAGGTTAGTTTTATCAGAGAATTATATTTAAAGAAAACTTTTTTAGTGAGACAGAAGCTCTCCAATTTGTATATTTCATATTTGTTATTATTTGGTTTATGGTAAACACAGGTGTTTACAATACCAGGTACGTTTTTGCAACTCTTTTGCTCCAGATAGATGTACTACAGTAAGTTAATTGCTAAATTAAAGTCTAAATGGTGAAGGTCTCATAACTCACTTGGCTTAGTCTATTTGGGAGAGCACAATGTTAGCCTGGTCTTCAGAATCCAGCAACAACTTATCTACCCTAACACTATAGATTATATGTATGAATAAAGCCAAGCAGAGGTTTTCAAAAACCTTCCTGTGTTTGCATGTGTGTGCCCGCCACAAATGATATTTCCCTCATCTTTTAATTTTCTAAGAGGTCTGCAGACAAACCATATACAGATGTGTCGTGCATAAATGACTAGTTCTGCATATTATATTCTTTTTTATTAATTACACTTTATTCACTTTGTATCCCCCCTATAAACCTCTCTCTCCTCCCCTCCCAATCCCACGCATGCCCCTCCCCAAGTCCACTGACAGGGAAGGTCTTCCTCTCCTTCCTTCCGATCCTAGTCTATCAGATCTCATATTCTTAGTCTATTTTTTACTTTATAAAAGGGATTTATGAAAGCAGGGAAGGTTGGTCAGTGAATAAATGTGCAATCTTTGAAACCTGTTTTCCTGAGTTTGATCTCTGGTACCTAAATATGGAAAGGCGAGAACTGACTTCTAATATTGTCCTCTGATGGTCTGCATGGAAGGACCATGAAGAGTCAGCACGCGCACACACACACACACACACACACACACACACACACACACACACACACCACACAAATGCATAAAATAAATATTTTTAAGATAACTGAAAAATCATAATGATAATAGACATAATTGTATAGTGGGTATTTTTTGTAAAAGTATGATAAGGGTTTGTACATTTCAATACAGGAAATAAATACATTCTTGACAGAATTATTCTCTCTAATGCTTTTAATTATCCTCATATTTCTATATCTTCTATGTATTTTCACCCAAACCAGAAAACTCTAGTGTTTGAATGTATCTAGAAGATAACTTTCTTAGATACCTGTATGTCTTAAACTAATACAAACATTTAATATCATATTTTTATTGACTAGCAATAAGATATAAATAATGGAACTAGCTGAAATTGAGATAATTAATATACTGAATATTTTATGTTGATGATATTTCTAACTAGACTTAATTTTTTTAAATAATAAAATTTGGGGGTTTTGTTGTTGTTGGAAATTATGAACCTCTCCACTGCCTGACACAGATATACATTTGATGTCAATTTTTTACCTCAGTTGATATAATAAAAAAAAAAAAAATCACAAGATGATTAAAGGTGGTGACCTACACCTTTAATCCCAGTATTCAGGAGGCATAGGCAGGTGGATCTCTTGAGTTTGAGGCCAGCCTAGAATACCGAGCAAGCTCCAAGACTGCCAGGATAAACCATAAAAGAATTATATTGAATTGAGAGAACTGTATAGATTATATAGAATTGGTGCTGACTAAAATACAGGAAAATCACAATTACTAAGTTACATTTTCCTTACATTTGGGAACTCACTTGTTTATCTTTATACTTGCAGATCAAATCTGACTTAGACAATGGAGACAACCGTTTCCAGTACAAGCTGCTAGGGTCTGCCGCTGGGAGCTTCAGCATTGATGAACAAACAGGTGACATATTTGCCACAAGGAAGCTCAACAGAGAAGAACAATCCCTCTACACCCTGAGAGCTCAGGTCCTAGACATCACTACTGGAAAGGCTGTGGAAACTGAGTCTGAGTTTATCATCCGAGTTTTGGATAAGAATGACAATGAACCCAGATTCCTAGATGAACCTTATGAAGCCGTTGTACCTGAGATGTCTCCAGAAGGTACTGCATTTTAGTTTATGTCACAGTTTTATTAACAATGATGATAGATTTAAACATTTGAATATGTGTTTGGTAGTACATTACTTTAATTTTCATAATAATTCTTATGAAAAACTTTTTGAATGAAATATTTGAAAAATTAGATAATATAATAACAATTTATTGGGCATAATTAGAAGAAAATTGTAGATACTTTCTAGCAAAGTCTACCTAGTTAATATTGTATGTATTATTTACTCAATCTTGTTTGTACTTCTAAGTCATAATTTGATGATTTTATTCTTTCATACACTGTGTATATCAAACAGAAACCGTTTTTATAACCGTCTTTGTTGGTTACATTTATATCTGAAATGAAATTTATTTCAACCTTGAACTTTCAAGTGAAATTTATTGACATTTTCCTCTTTGTTACTTTGTATTGCAAAGTTATTTCTATCTCAGTTTTTATTTTATATCTGAAAGTTTAGTTGAATATATTTGTTTGGCTAATAAAGTCTACAAGATATACAATGATGAATTAAAGAAAATTATCTGTATGACTAAAACTATTACAGGCATCAAAACCAGGAATACAAAAATAAGAGTGCTTGAACAGTTACGTGCAGTTTTGTTTATTTCAATTTATTTTCAATGCTATTGTCATTAAAGTCTTAAATTTAAATGAATGAAGAAGAGATTATTGCAATAGGACAGTGTAAATCATCTACATTGGAGATGAAGAATATTTTTGCAGCCAACATAATTTATGATATTGAAAAAGTTTCTTTATTATGTCAGTCAAAATTTCGATAATACAATATACATCATATTTAATTTAATTTTAAAAATCTGTTTAAATAATTAATAAATGTTTTAGTTGATCATCTTAAATTATGCCAACATATTTTAAAGTTTATGGATTATTATCCATTGATTATAAAATATATATCTCATGTTAATATTTCTGATTTTCCACTTTTTCACATACCACTTATAAATTAATCGTAATATTCTGCAGTACAGGTCTTCAACTACAACTTAAACAAATTTAGTTACATGTGTGTCAAAACAAATTGTGTTAAAATATTTTTAAAACTCTTGGAAAGTAGTTATTTTGATGGCTAAGTAAACTAGTTTCTAGTGGGCTGTCTAGTTATTAAGTATTCCTTATTCAACCAAAATTGCATATACTTACAGTGTGATGCTTTTGTTCTCTACTATGCTATATACTCTCTTCTTTGTATATATTGTCGGGTTTTCAAAATCACATTTACATTTGAAATATAGTTGCTTTCCAACTTGGACTCTTAAATGGAATTGAGCTAAAATTGTGTGTGTGTGTGTGTGTGAGTGTGTGCAAGGAAATTTTCTTCTTTCTACATAAAAAAATATAGGATATATAAGGATCAATGATAAAAAAGTTCTTGGGGTTCAAAATAGTTGAATTCATCCACAACATGATGCATGTTTCTATGAAAATGCTACACAAGTCTTGAGAGCAATTTGAGAGCTGACCATTGTATATACAAGGGAGACTCCTTGATTGTCGATGAAGGCATGTAGGGACCCGAGGGATTGCAAATTGCTATCGTCACTCTGAAATATTTGCTTTCTGAAGTTGAATATTCATTTGAATATCATTGTGAATGACCTGAATAAAAACTTCTTTTAATCATCTTTCCTTTTTAATGATTGCTGTCAGTTTTCCTCTAGAATAAAACATAGGCAGGACATTAAAAATTGGTTGTGTGGGGCTAGAGAAATATCTCAGGGGTTCAAGAATCATTAAGTCTTCCATAAAACTCTTTGGTGATCACAATGTCAAATAAATCCACATTGACAGAGTTATAATTTCCTCAAACCAGGTTATATCTAGTGCCTACAGAATAAGTTTGATATGTGGAGAAATTCTGTTATTGATTCTGTTACTAATGTTTCTTCTAATCTTCAAATTTTATTTAGCTTTATAGAATTTAGCGCTGATTAAGATTTCCTCAAACGCAGTGATTTTTATTAAATTGTACATGCACTATCTATATTTTCTCTACTATTATATAATCCTATAATTTTAATTTAATTTACTTTTAGTAATCTTATCTGAGTCATAAAAATGAATGAATTTTATCAAAGTGTATACTTCCCAAAATGGCATGTCTGTCAGTCTTCATTTTGTTGTAAGTATATACTATTATTTTTTGAGATATAGAACAAAGTAAAAACCATAGGAGGCCTGAAACGTCATATTTTTATTTAGGAAACGGTGTTTGCACTTCACAAGTAGTATAATCCAGATAGACCAGTATAATCACTGCTGAGTTACACATACAGAGAGAAGAGACCCTCAACAATTAATGAAAGTGGACAGTAATTTGAAGAAAAATAAAAAGAGGTGATTAGAAATATTTGAAGGGAGCAAAGGGAATTGAAAATGATTTCCTTGTAATAAAATATAACAAAATGAAAAAAATATTTTAAAATTGGCCATTGTTGAAATTACAGTCAACTACTTTTTATTCCATAAAATAGAAACAGAAGGAACACTACCAAACTCATTCTATGAAGCCACAGTCACTTTGATACCTAAACCACACAAAGATCCAACCAAAAAAGAGAACTTCAGACCTCTCTCTCTTATGAACATTGATGCAAAAATACTCAATAAAATACTTGCAAACCGAATCCAAGAACACATCAAAGATATCATCCATCATGACCAAGTAGGCTTCATCCCAGGAATGCAAGGGTGGTTCAACATACGGAAATCCATCAACGTAATCCACCACATAAACAAAATGAAGGAGAAAAACCACATGATCATCTCCTTAGATGCTGAAAAAGCATTTTAACAAAGTCCAACACCCATTTATGTTTAAAGTCTTGGAGAGATCAGGGATACAAGGCACATACCTAAAGATAGTAAAGGCAATATACAGCAAGCCTATAGCCAACATCAAACTCAATGGAGAGAAACTTAAATCAATCCCACTGAAATCAGGGACAAGACAAGGCTGCCCACTCTCTCCATATCTCTTTTAACATTGTACCTGAAGTCCTAGCCAGAGCAATAAGACAACTAAAGGAGATCAAGGGGATACAAATCGGAAAGGAAGAGGTCAAAGTGTCACTATTTGCAGATGATATGATAGTATACATGAGCGACCCCAAAGATTCAACCAGAGAACTTCTTCAGCTGATAAACACCTTCAGCAAAGTGGCAGGATACAAAATCAACTCAAAAAAATCAGAAGCCCTCTTGTATACCAAAGAAAAAAAGGCTGAGAAAGAAATTAGGGAAACAACACCCTTCACAATAGCCACTAATAACATAAAGTACCTTGGTGTGACTCTAACCAAGCAAGTGAAAGACCTGTTTGAGAAAAACTTCAAGTCTTTGAAGAAAGAAATTGAAGAAGATCTCAGAAGATGGAAAGATCTCCCGTGCTCATGGATTGGTAGGATAAACATTGTGAAAATGGCCATCCTGCCAAAAGCAATCTACAGATTCAATGCAATTCCCATCAAAATACCAACTCAATTCTTTACAGAACTTGAAAAAAAGATTCTCAGCTTCATATGGAGAAACAAAAAACCCAGAATCTCCAAAACGATCCTGTACAACAACAGATCATCTGGAGGTATCTCCATTCCCAATCTCAAGCTGTACTACAGGGCAACAGTAATAAAAACTGCATGGTATTGGCATAGAAACAGAAAGGAGGATCAATGGACTCGCATAGAAGACCCAGAAATAAACCCACACACCTATGAATACTCAATATTTGACAAAGAAGCCAAATCCATTCAATGGAAAAAAGACAGCATCTTCAACAAATGGTGCTGGACCAACTGGAAGTCTACGTGTAGAAAAATGAAAATAGATCCATATTTATCACCCTGCACAAAACTAAAGTCCAAGTGGATCAAGGACCTCGACATAAAACCAGATACTCTAAATCAGCTGGAAAAAAAGTGGGAAACAGCCTAGAACTCATTGGCACAGGAGACAACTTCCTGAACAGAACACCAACAGCATAGGCTCTAAGAGCAACAATCAATAAATGGGACCTCATGAAACTGAAAAGCTTCTGATATGGAAAGGATAGGAGCTCTACAAGGACCAAATATATCTGGGCACAGGGTCTTTTCTGAGACTGACACTCAACCAAGGACCATCTATGGATATAACCTAGAACTTCTGCTCGGATGTGGCCCGTGGTAGCTCAGTAACCAAGTAGTTTTCCAAAGTAAGGGGAACACGGACTATTTCTAACAGGATCTCAAGGGCAGGCTCTTTGACCTCCCCCCCACCCCAGGGGAGGAGCAGTCTGTTAGGCCACAGAGGAGGACTTTGCAGCCAGCCCTGAAGATACCTGATAAAACAGGGTCAGATGAAAGGGGAGGAGGTCCTCCCCTATCAGTGGACTTGGAAAGGGGCAGGGAGGAGACCAGGGAGGGAGTGTGGGGTTGGGGAGGGAATGAGGGAGCGGGATACAGCTGGGACACAGAGTTAACAAAATGTAACTAAAAAGAAAAAAAAAAGATACAAAAAAAAATGACAACATAATCTTTGTGTTTCTAGTCTGATAGATTTTTAAAGTTAACATCTGGAAAATATGAATAAAAATTAAGATAAATATAAATATATCAAGCATTTAGAAATCTGCATTTTTTACCACTTTTTTTAAATATGTGTGTATACAGACACATATTGTTTGCATGTTAACTACATGTTAAATGCACGTTTGTCATTTACAAAAAAAGAAAAGCAGCATTATTTTCTTTAACATATAGTTGTGTTTGTTTTGCTGAACTGAATTTATTATTAAATAAGACCCAAAGCTGAATTTACTCTTAATATGTCTGTTCTTTTTAGGAATATTTGTCATCAAGGTGACAGCCAGTGATGACGATGATCCTACCAGTGGCTATCACACTCGCATCCTATACAACTTAGAAAGAGGCCAACCATATTTTTCTGTTGAACCAACAACAGGTATCTGTGCATTAAAAAGAAACAAGACAAGCAAACAATGCAACACCATATGCTCTACAGAAGGAAAATATCAGCACAAATTATCAGATTACAAACGTGTTCTATGGTAGATGCCATTTCCTGACGTTTGCTGATAGGTTAAGCAGTGTTTCTGTGATTTCAGAGTTTGAAATGTCCATACCTCTGCTGTAGAATATCTATATGTGTGCTATAAAATGGATGCAATGAATTTTATAAATTTTCCAGAGAAGAAGGAGCAAAGCAATTTTACAAATACGGGGAGAAACATTACAGGAAATTGACCAGATGTTGTACTTTTAAAGACTGAAAGCACCTTACAAGTCACCACCTTCGTTGAACATCGGGGACTTGAGGCTAAAACCCACAAGGTTGCTTTCACATTGCTAAGTAGATGTCTAGGATTTACTATATAATGTTTTATGTCTGGTGTCAGAAGGTAAAGAAGTCCCTTTAAACATAGTTGTGTGTTTTACACATTGTTGTCTTTATTTTTGTCTTTGAGACATGGTCAATTTATACATTTTAAAGAAAAGATTTTTTTTTTCTAATCATTGCAGCCCCAGTTTGCAACAGTAACTTGAATATCTTTGAAAATAATAGGAATTTATGTTCTTTATTTGAAGTACATAATAATATAGTTATTTGATACTGTAAAGGAACTGAACTCATAGTCTCATACATGCTAAAAGAATCTCTGAACCTTCTTATCAGCTGTAGACATATTTATTGACAACTTAATATTTATATGACTCATTTGCTTAACGAGTTATAATTATGTCCCAATCAAAAAGGAAGCCTTTATATAGCTTTCTCTTTAGAATTTGTAGGCTTTAAACATTCGACATCCTAGCTAATTGTCCCTAAATTTTGCAAGTAAAAAAATGGACAATCATCTGGTTACTATTAAAATACAAAAATACTTAGAGTTTTTCTTAAAAGATAATATATTTTGTTAAATGTTTAAATATTAACTTTTTTTCCCCATTCATTTGGGAGATGTTGATGTCAGGCTTTGTCAAGGCTTCTTGAGGTTAAAAACTTTATGGAATGTGAAGTTTTGTGGAGTTGGGTTTGTAAGAGTCTAAATTTTCTGACATGGTATTCGTATAATATATTATTCAGAATATGCAAGAGAAATGCTGTTCTATTTTATGTGTACATTTTAGTACATTTTATTGCAATAATGTTTTTTTGTTTTGTTTTGTTTTGTTTTCAAGACAGGGTTTGTCTGTGTATCCTTGGGTGTGTAACAATATTTTCTAATAATGTATTTTGATCGTGTTTCTCCTCCACCAGAACTTCCTATCATTTTTACTCACATAAGCTAACTTTATGGTCTCTTGCATGCCTCTTTCTCTGTCTCGCTGTCATTCTCTCTCTGTTTCTCTATATTCAAAAACCCCTGCAAAAACGAAAATCAAAACAAATAAGTAAAGGACTAATAAAACTAAAGTATGTCAAAACAAAACAAGAAATAGCATGAAATTCTTTTTATGTTGGCTGCCTACTACTCAGCATGAGCTGCTCTGAGATGTGGTTATTTTTATATTCAGAGTGATGCACCATTGGAAAAAAATCAGATTTTCCCTTTGACAGCAAGGTATCAATTGCAAATATTTACTTGGGTTAGGGTTGTAGCCTGTGTCTTCTCTCAGTGCTGGGACCCCACATGCTTTTACTTGTTAACATGTTTTGCGTATTCTCACCATCTCTGTGGGTTCCTATGTGCTTCATTTCTGCAGTGTCTAAAGACATAGTCTCCTCAGAGTCATCCATCCATCACCTCTGGCTCTTACAAATTCTCTGCACACTCTTGTGTATAAAAACTTAAACCTTGAGGAAAGCTGTTTGGTAAAGACGTTCATTTAGGATTGAGTTTTCCATAGATTTTTACGCTCTGGACACTGTCCAGTTGTGGACCACGGTATTAATTCCCGCCTACTTCAAGAAATTTATATGATGAAGTTTAAGCAAGGCACTGATCTATAGGGATAGAAATATTTTGTTTCATTTCATTGTTATATCTTTTATCCAAATAACCTGGGTCTAGCGTTTCTCCTAGACCCATGACCTATCTAGTCTCAGGATTTTGGCTCCTTTAGCAATGTCAGGTATGTCTTCCATCTCATTAAGTAGTCCTTAAACACACTTTTAAAAGATTGTTGGTCACTCCCATAATATTTCTACTACTTTTCTACCATTATATCTTACAGTCAGTTTTCTGTTGTAGGTCACAAATATTTTTACCTGACTAACGATTAGCTTTCTCCTCTAGTATTATGCAAAGTACCTCAAGCACAAGAACATTATTCAGTAGGGGTAAAGCATCTATTAGGCAATTGACTTGATTTCCCTGTGTTTGATGACTTGTTAGTGTTGTCTTCAGTAATAGGACATGGCGATAAGGTTGTGGAAAGCAACCCTTATTCATGCCAAAGGCTGTGATATTTAGAGTTTCCAAAAGGAATCTTTTTGGCCAGTGACTCAACATGATTTAATCCACTACCAAAACGGAAGATTTTACTTGGGGAATTGTCTCTGCTGTTACAAGATGTCTCCCTTTAGATTTCTTTGATAGATATTTGCATTTTAGAAAGCTTTTTTTTTTCCACTTGGCTTTAAAATAACTTTTATCTTTAGCTGTCTTTTTTTCCCCCCCACTCTCTTCCTTACTTAACCTTTCTATTCTAGTCTCTGATTCATATCTCCATAACAGTATATACTATTTCTCTTTCCTTTGGAGAACCTCTCTTCCACAGTGTCCACTTATTTGGTACCTAACCTTTGCTAGCTTAAAAGCTAACATTTGCATATAAGACAACATATTATATTTTTCTTATTGGGTCTGGGCTACCTCGCCTAGGATTTTTCTAAACTCTATTCATTTTTCTGCAAATTTTATAGTTTCAAAATAGCTAAATAATATTCAATTGTGTAAATGTACTGCATTTTTGTTTTGTTTTGTTTTGTTTTTTGTTTTTGTTTTTGTTCTCATTTTTGTTTTTTTGAGACAGTGTTTCTCTGGATAGCTTTGCTTGTCCTGAACTCCCTTTATAGAGCAGACTGACCTTGAACTCAAAGCAGTTTGGCTGCCTCTTTCTTCCCAAGTGCTGGTATTACAGGAATGCACCACCCTACCTGGCTAAATGTACCACATTTTCATTTTATTTATCAGTCAATGAAGATATTTCTAATTTCTGGTTATTAAGAATAGAGCATCAGTGAACATGGATAATTATATATCTCTGTTTTAGGTTCTTTTGGGTACATATGTACAAGGGCAGTATAAAGATTGATTTTCATATTTCTGGGAGAATCTTCACACAAATTTCCATAGTGGCTGAACCAGTTTTCATTCCCACCAGCAATAAATGATTTACACCTTCATGTGCTACTTATTATTCTTAAAATATGAGGGTTTCATTTCTTATATAATCTTCTCTGTACAAATCTGTTTGTCTTAGAGATTATATCACATAAAGGATTTTTCAAAGTGTATCCCTGTGACATCTTACATAATAAAAACAATTAAAAAACATAAGCATGGGCTTTTGCAGTATGAAACTTACAGCTATTTAATAAACATGTAGATATTAACAAATAGATGTTTAATCAGTCAACAATACCCAAATAAACATAAAGGTTCAAATGAGAAAGATAAAATAAGAATAACTATAGGCTTTCCTGTAAAGGAACATTTTTCTGAACCTAGAATGAAGACCTTAGCCTGGACCAAAGGAAAGTCCTCCTAAACTATGGAGAAAATATAAAAGACATTTACTCTTAAACTGAAAACAAAACAAAACAAAAATGAAGTTCCTGAAACACATAGATGATACCTGCTATCTTATTGTATTAAGGGTATAGTCATATTTAGTGATTTGATAAGACATAATTAGTGTTTACTTTTACTGTTATTGTAGACATCTATGTTATTACCTAGCATATAAACAATGAGTATTACACAATGGGATGCTTAAAAAGTTACCTATGAAGAGGTCATTGGTAATAATAAAAAGAATTGTATTACTCTTTTTTAAAGGAGTCATAAGAATAGCTTCTAAAATGGACAGAGAGTTGCAAGATACATACTATGTGGTTATTCAAGCCAAGGACATGCTTGGTCAGCCAGGAGCCCTGTCTGGAACAACAACTGTATCAGTTAAGCTGTCGGATATTAATGACAACAAGCCAATATTCAAAGAAAGTAAGTAGATTGTGTCTTGAATTCCCATTGTATTTATATCATTTGAGTAGGCACAGATGTTGAATTTTGCACACTATGAAAGCATTGTAAAAGCAAAAGTATTATATAAAATAAATATGCTAATTTTTATTAATTAATTCCATTTACATCTCAGTAATGGTCTCTCTCTCCTCTTTTCCCTGTCCCTTCCTCACTCCCACATCTTTTCTCCTCTATTCTTCAGAATAGGGGAGCCCCCATCCCCAGATATCACAGCTCATCTATTCACTTGAGGATTGAGATCATCTTTCTCCTCTGTGGCATGGTAGGGAAGTTACATCAGGGGCAAGTGATCAAAAGGCAGGCAACATAGTCTGTGTCAGAGATATCCCCCACTCCCCTAACTAGAGGGCCAACATGAAGCCTAAGATATTTATCAGTCTTATCTTCTTTGGATGTGTGCATTGCAGCATGTCTATTCTATACTGCATAACTAAAATCTAACTATAAATGAGCATATAACATGTGTATCTTTCTGGGTCTGTGTTATCTCACTCAGTATGATCACTTCTAGGTCCATCCATTTAACTGCAAAGTTCATGATTTACTTACTTTTGATACTAATGGTTGAGTAGTATTCCATTGTGTAACTGTATGACAGTTTCTTTATTCATAAGTTGAGGGACATCTAGGTTGTTTCCAGTTTCTGGTTATTATGAATAAAGCTGTTATGGCCATGGGTGAGCAAATGTCTTTGTATGGTGGGGCTTCTTTTGGTTACATGCCCAGGAGTGGAATAGCTAGGTCTTGAAATATGGCTATTCCCACTTTTCTGAGAAAGCATCAGATTGATTTCTAAAGTGGTTGTAAAAGTTTGCACTCCCACCAGAAATAGAGGAGTGTTCCTCTTTCTCCACATTCTTGCCAGCATGATTTGTCACTTGTTTTTGTTTATTTGTTTGTTTTGTTTTTTGTTATTTTGTTTTAATTTTGGCCATTCTGACAGGTATAAGAGAATCTCAGAGACATTTTGATTTGGTTTTCCCTGATGACTAAGGAATTTGAGCATTTCTTTAAGTGTTTCTCATTCATATGAAATTCCTCTGTTGAGAATTCTTTGTTTAGCTCTGTATCCCATTTTTAATTGTGTTATTTGGTTGGTTGGTGTTTAATTTCTTGAGTTCTTTATATATTGTCAGATGTTAGATTGGTGAAGACCTTTTCCCAATCTGTAGAGTGTTATTTCATTCCATTGATAGTGTCCTTTGCTTTATAGAATTTTTTTTAGTTTCAAAATGTCCCATTTATTTATTTTAGATATTAGAGCCTGAGCTGTTAATGTTTTGTTCAAGAAGCTGCCTCCTGTGCCAATGAGTTCAAGGCCCTTACCCACATTCTCCTCTAGCAGATTGATTGTATATGTTTTTTTTTTTTTTTTTGAGGTCTTTGATCCATTTAGATTTGAGTTTTTTGTAGGGAGATAAGTATTGATCTATTTGCATTTTTCTGCATATAGATATCCAGTTAGACCAACGCCATTTGTTGAGGATGCTGTCTTTTTTTTTTTTTTTTTTTTTTTTGTGTTTTTTTGTTTTTTTTTTAAAAATAGGGGTGTATATATGTGTGTTTTTTTTTTTTTGTTTTTTTTTTTTTTTTTTTTTTTCATTGTGTGATTTTGGCTGATTTGTAAAAAATCAGGGGTGCATATATGTGTGCTTTTATTTCTGGGTCTTTAATTCAAATCTGTTAATTAAACAGCCTGTTTTTATGCCAGTACCATGCAGTTTTTATTGCTGTTGCTCTGTAGTATAGTGTGAAGTCAGGTATAGATATACTTCCAGAAGTTCTATTATTGTACAGCGTGGTTTTCACTATTCTGGATATTGTTTTTCCATATTGAGTTTGGGATTATTCTTTCAAAGTCTGTGAAACATTGCATTGGTATATTGATGGGAATTGCATTGAATCCATAGACTGCCTTTGCTAAGATGACCATTTTTACTATGATAGTCCTATGGATCCATGAGCATGGCGGACCTTTCTATCCTCTGGTATCTTCTTGAATTTCTTTTTTCAGACATTTAAAGTTCTTGTTGTACAGGTCTTTGACTTTATTGGTTAAAGTTACCCATAGATACATTATATTATTTGTGGCTATTTTGAAGTTTGTGGTTTATCTAATTTCTTTCTCAGCCCATTTGTCATTTGTATAGAGGAGGCTACAGATTTCTTTTACTGTTAGTCTGTATTCCAGCCATTTTCCTGAAGGAGTTTAACAGCTGCAGGTGTTCTGTAATGAAATTTTTGCTGTTGCTTACATATACTATTATATCATCTGCAAAGAGCAATACATTAGCTTCTTCCTTTCCAATTTGTAGCTCTTTGATCTCCTTTATTTGTCCTTTTATTCTAGCTAGAACTTCTAGTACTGTATTGAAGAGATTTGGAGAGAGTGGGCAGCCTGTCTTGGTCTGATTTTCGTGGGATTGCTTTGAGTATCTCTCCATGAAGCTTGATGTTGGCTATCAAGTTGATATATATATATATATATATATATATATATATATATATATATATATA